TCGTGAGACTGAAAAACTTTACGCATCCATGATCTCGGACGCTAAGCGGACGTTCTTCTCGTCAACCCTACCAGACATGCTACGCACAAACCCCAAAAAGTTCTGGAACACTATCAACCCAACCCATGCTAAACCCATTTCTTTACTAGATGAAGATAATATTCCCATGCCGGAGTTCAAGGTCGCCGAAACACTAAACTCCACGTTTTGCTCAGTGTTTACTGATGAACCTGACAATGCATTTTCATGTGTTCCCGATGTATCTCCATGTGTCCCGTCCCATGATTGCCCTGCTATGCCCAGTGTCATTTTCGAACCAAATGGCATTATACAAGTGATTGATTCCTTAAAAGTGACGTCATCAGCTGGTATTGAATGTATAAATTCTAAAGTTTTAAAAAATACCAAACATCTCTGTGCTGTCATATTGTCGCACATCTTCCAGCAATCACTGTCATCTGGAGTGGTGCCACGGGACTGGAAGGTTGGCAAGGTCATTCCGATACCCAAAAAAGGTCCTTCATCCTCACCTCTAAACTACCGGCCTATATCACTAACATGCGTGTGCTGTAAAATAATGCAACATATATATTATTCTCAAACAGTCAAATTTCTGATCTCTGTAAACTTTTTCCATCCCAGTCAGCACGGATTTCAGAAAGGCCTCTCCTGTGACACACAACTAGCGCTCTTTATTAACGACATCAGCTCAAGTATAGACCAGAATGTTCCTGTAGATGCCCTTTTCCTAGATTTTGAAAAAGCTTTCGATAAAGTACCCTATAAACGCCTTTTTTTAAAACTTTCCCGCTTAAACATTGACCTAGCAGTTCTAGAATGGATACGAATTTTTTTGTCAAACCGGGAACAGTTCGTTTACTCCAACCAGACATCATCTACCACGCGTCCTGTCCTTTCATGTGTACCTCAGGGTACAGTGCTCGGTCCCCTTCTATTTTTAATTTATGTTAACGACCTACCTAGCAATATATCGTCCCGAATCCGTCTATTTGCTGACGATTGCGTGATTTATTGTCCTATTAACTGCCCTAATGACTCCCAGATCCTTCAAAATGATCTAGTAACTATAGAAACCTGGTGCGAAAAATGGCTCATGACTTTGAACATTAGGAAAACCTCCGTCATCTCTTTTCATCGCAGGAAATCTCACCCGGCTACTTCATACTTTTTTTCTGGTTGCGAAATATCCCTGGTGAATTCCTACAAATATTTAGGTATAAACATTACGCCAGATCTTACTTGGTCCTCCCACATAACAAACATTTCTAACGAAGCAAACAAAGTCCTTGGTTACCTAAGAAGAAATTTACGACTTGCTCCCCCTTCTGTTAAACTTTTAGCATATCAAACACTAGTCCGTCCGAAGCTTGAATACGCTTGTGCCGTCTGGGATCCCCACCAACCTAATCTATCCAAAACATTAGAATCTGTCCAAAATAGAGCATCTAGGTTCATATATACCGATTACTCGCGCCACACAGGCGTTACTAACTTAAAGATTAAAGCCCATCTTCCCAGCCTTGAACTGCGACGCAAAGTCGCTAGATTAGCTCTTTTTCATAAATTTTTTCACTCACTGTCCGACGCATCTGTTATCATGCCCACGCATCGCATATCTTCCCGCACTAACCACAACAACCCAGTTTACCCTGCGCATGCCCGTACAACTGCTCACCTTCGGTCATTCTTCGTTCAGACAGCGAAGGATTGGAATGACCTTCCGTCCCACGTCGTGCGCCACTCCAGCCCCATTCATTTCAAAGCGCACATAGAAGAAACCTTGCATTGCCCACCCCTCATGTAACACCCCTTCCTGGGGTTTTTGAGGTATAATAAATAAATAAATAAATAAATAAATAAATAAACTAATTCGTCGAGGTTACCGTTTCAACCCATTAAGAAAACAAGTACAGTTTGTATTTCATTGACATTTTGCACAATATTTTAAATGCAATAGACAGCAACACGTATACCTTTTCTTAGAGTTTTATGAGTGTTTGTGGAGCTTACTTCACTGAACTTCACAAATTACGCTAGGCCCTCGAGCTCGGAATAGGAATGCTGGTGAGATGTTATAATGGAGAGTATGCTAAGACCTTGCTAAATCAATACCAAAGCCAACTTGGGTCATACAGCTTAGTGAAGCACTGGCGTTCTATGGAAAGCGTAACGTCGTGCTTCTTGCAACACTATTCTATTATATTAGGGCATACCAGCATTGTTTTCCAAGCTTTGTAAAAATGTCGGTTGAAATATAGTGTACCAGCAAGCTTAATGCTAGAGATCTCTTGACACCTATGTTAGGTATAACAACGCCAAGTGAGTTCCTTGCTTTTATGCGACTGGCGGACAATAGTCAACGCGCAGGGGTCTGCTGAGGCATACAGTGTAGTTGCCGACCCCATATGCGTTGCCTACACAGCCGTATCCATCATCTGGGTAAATGTGGTCTTGTACAAGTTTGCCTCAGGGATGAAACATCCGTAGTTAATCGCAGCCTGGTGATAGAGACCAGCCCCTTCTATGCCATTGTTACAGCTGCTGTGGAGAGTTGGCAATGACTATGTTTTTATGTATTGTTTTCAGATGATAGCCATCTGTTTACAGAGCATAGAAAGTACTGTGTTATCGTTCGGTTCGGTAGCAATTATGCTTTTGTCCTTTTAAAACAATTTTTTTTCTGGTATCAAACCAGAAACTATACTTTCCACGTTCCCTTCGTTCCATATGCTTTATTTTTGGCAGAAAGCATAATTTGAATCCACGTATTTCTCTTTCTCCTTCTAACTGTCTATGTTGGGGTCAGAAGCGGCAATGAAAACATCAGTGGCATCTGTCGCAGCATCATGGGTCTCAGATAACCGAAAAAACAGCATTATATTAAAGAAAATAGCTGATTCAACCTCTGAAACCCCGCACAACATTAGGTACGCGTGTTCTTTCACGAAGCCCATTGTACTCTAAAAACTACACCCAGACCTAATTACGCCTTAGAGTATAACTATTCAATCAATACACTTATCGCGCTGTGCAAGGATTATTTTGCTGTTACTGAAGCACCAGCATTTTGTCTTTTTTCAACGTAATAATTGTGAAACTCGAAAAAATTTAGCAAATGGAGTACTAAGCACGTGCACTTGATGGCCTCTCATTGTCTTAAAGTTTAACGACTCATAGAACAAAAAAATAAAACAGAGTCAATATGCCAAGTTAGCATTGCCTTGGTGCAACCCTTGGCATCCGAAATTCCAACGAGCGAGATCGAAATATGGTAGTACGTATTTTTATTCCAGAATTAGGAAATGTATTTTTCAAAGTGCGCTACTTCTTAATGCACTAAAGTGGAGCACTTTAACTTTTCCCGAAGTCAATACTATGTTCTGCCTCCTAAGTTGGTGATTTGCGCTGGAAACGAGAGCTAAATATGAGACATGGAACTGTTCTCCCAAAGAGAGCCGTCGGCACTCTCTTCGTTCTTTGAATGTTGGACTGCCTGGAAAAAGTCATTCTGCTCACCAAAATTTTGAATCGATAATAGTATAATTTTAATAACACTTCGGTATAAAATAATCTTGAATATCAATCTGATTGCCAATGTTAATTTTTTTGTTCTTCTATAATGCGTATTCGATTGCATTTTTTCGTATTGCATCTACTGTTGCACCTCTGGACTGCTTGAGCGTCACAGAGATTGATCTCCCTACCTGCGAGACTGCACCACGAGCCGGAGGGTGTAGTAAAAGCATGCCTGCATTAAGTTGCGTAATAAATGCTGAACTCGTCCTTCGCAAAAACTGGAAAGACGTTTTCCGAATCTACCCTGTATTTTTCGCAACCTGTTATCCCTCGTCCAATAAACGTCTGGGTTGGATATCTTCTTTCGAGCCCCGCCGCGATGGTATAGTGGATAAGGTACTCGGCTACTGGCCCGCAGGTTGCAGGAGTTGGCGAAAACTTCCGGAGCCCTCCACTACGACATCTCTCATATTGATATGGTGGCTTTATTAATAACAATACCTTAATTTCTACCAATAAAGTGTTTCAGTTGGGAGTGGTAAAAAAGCGACAGGCCGCTTGACTAAGTTCTCACCCTCCAACTACATCTAGCAGAGATAGTGGTAGTGACAAAATACATAGAATTATCGCAGCAACTCACTTACGATACACAAATATATGAACGCATATGTAATGCAGGCATTTTAAATGGTGGCACTACAAGTTGTATATACTTCATAAACCAAAAGGCATGGATATGAGCATGGTTTCAAAATTTTTGTGGAAATATGACAAAAGAAAGCATTAAGTGCGTGGCAACACATTTCATAATGCACACCAAGGCGTAAAGGCTATCGATATACTTTAACAGTTAAAATTAATCAAAATTTGCGGAGCTGTGCTTGTGTATTGCTTGTTTTTTCAAGAATTCTAAGATGAGCTTTATTTAAATGTACTGGTAATTCATAAGACATTCTTCGCATACCATAGTATGTTCTTGTGTGAGGAAGTACCAAAGGTGTCCGATTACAATGTTGGTAGTGTGACTTTTGCGTTTGCATTTCAGGTAACTCTGATAATGTAGACAAATTTCTTTTTGGCACGTGAGTTTGAGAGTTTACACGCCACATATCGATATATCAGTCCGGCTTTAGGTGCACTTCTCAATTAAAAAAATAAAATAAAGCTTCGTAATCTTCGCAGATGGTGCTACCTACCTTAGGCATATTTGTGGTTCACTTTTGTTACAGTTCTTGGACACAACGGAACCCATATGGACGTACAACACGAGCAACAAATGGAACAACCACTGGTGTGTGGTAGATGTAATGGAGCTACTGAAGGCTGAAAAAATTAACTACCGACATATCTACTACGTGAAGTTCCCCAGAAAGCAGAAGTATAGAAAAATTTTATCGGGCATTGCGCCGCACTGCTGATTGTCATTTTTTATTTGCATAAATATCGTGGAAATGCACGGTGACTTCAAATACCAAAATAACTTGATTTCTGGCAAAAGAGGTAATGAACAAGAGTGGAATTTACTTCTTTCAAAATGAACTACAAAAGCCTAGTGTTGAAGTGTTTTTACGCTCATATAATTGTAATCTTCAAAACCTTGGGGACACGTTCACGGCTCGTACGAATTTCGGGTTGATAGCAAGTTTTAATCACTCCCGGCCGAAACCTATTGGCCTACCATGTAATGGAGTTGGCTTGGTGCGCACCGATTTTTACCTCGCGACGTTTGATACGAACGTAATGTTACCGCGCACGTCCACACATGCTTGTCACGTCGTCCACACAGGACGACGTGACAAGCATGCGCGAAAAATTATCAGTGAAATGTTTTATAACATGCTCGCGAAATTTTTTATCATTACACTGAAAGGTGATACTGATAGAAGATCGCTCCACAGTCGTATGGTAGGCAGGAGCGTAGAGTAGTTAAAGGGCCACTGACCGCTCTGCGTTCCGAAACGAGGGGTAGTTTTCTCCTCCCGTTCGCTGCTCTTCACACATGTGAGGCTTCCTCCTCACCCCTTACTTCTGAAAAGCACGTGAACAATGTGATCACTAAGCACTAGAGCCTATCAGGAATTCGCGCTTCTCGGCTATACGCAATTATTGCTGTTTGCATAGTTTCAGACTCACAAAATGAGCCCTGCCGCATTAGTCTAGTGGCTAAGGTACTCGGCTGCTGACCCGCAGGTGGCAGGATCAAATCCCGGCTGTGGCGGCTGCATTTCCGACGGAGGCGGAAATGGTGTAGGCCGCTGTGCTCAGATTTGGGTGCACGGCAAAGAACCTCAGGTGGTCGAAATTTCCGGACCTTCTACTACGGCGTCCATCACAATCATAGGTTGGTTTGGGGACGTTAAACCCCACATATAAATCAATCAAGACTTACAAAGTGAACTGTGCCCGGTTTATTTTGAAAGATTTTCTTGCGAGACGAGGAAAATGGATGAGCTGCTGAATGCCGAAGCAGTGGAAAAGGCAAATCGCTTTTGATATTTCTTGTATATGGACCAATCGAGAGCACGTACACTCTTGACGTCACGGAATCTACTCTCTGCGTCACAGTAGTGCGCAAGCACTAGAACAATTATAAAAAGAAAATATTGCGCTCGTCGTTTCCGATTTTGAAAGCCTGTTTAGTGGCCCTTTGAGAGCATGAGTAGTGTTCTAGACACGGGTGTAGTGGAATTTATTGGGTAGTGTGTGGGTTGAGAGTAGCGTTGCAAGTGTGTTAGCTGTGATCGAGTGGCATGGGCACATTTATGTAGGGTGACAGAAGGGCAATATCACAACGTATTGTTAAGGGATTGATTGAACGTTTGAGCTTTTGATGCGTTACACTGGACCAATCGTTGTAACACCGCGCGATAAAACGAGAAGCCCTTTTCTTAATAAGCTTCTAACTTCCGTAATAAAAATTTATGAGGCACACCAAATGGATCACGCGTACCCTAACTTAGGTGGGGCAAATGTTTGGTAGGAATGTATACGTATACAGGAAAAGTATTGGATTGTAGGTTGCGTCGGATATGCCCTAAAGATCTGGAAGCATTACCAAGAATGGTAGTTATCTAATGGACCCAAAAAGAACTTTTTGTGGGGTGAATGCCTAGATGATTATACAACGGTCCCCCAAACTTTTACTGCTCATGAAGTTTCAACGTAACTTTATTAAACAGCTCTCTGGGAAGCTGTGGGCAGCTTTGTCGGACGCTCCGAGAGGAGGCTGCGGAGTGGCACAGCATCCACGCAAAAGGCTTAAGTAAGAGGGCAGCGAACAAAGCTGCCGGTGTCGCTGCAAATTATCAGGGCAAGGCATGCGCACTTTTCCCGGTATGTCTGGTATTGTGCCTATAGTAAGTGGGCCTTGCCGATCGGAAAGGATGGCACTTACGAGTCCTGCGTAGCTCGGGGTCAATCAGCTTGCAAGAAAAAACGAAGAGAAAGTGTCCATGTTCTGACTGCCTAGAGGTAGCGTTTGGTGCTACAAGTGGAAGCCCTCTATACCAGTACAAGAAACAGGTGGTTTTACACACTCCGCATTCTTGTGTGCGCGAAAATCACATCAATGAGAGTGATATCATCGGCCTTTATCAGTAGCTAATCGAAGGTGTTGTGTTTTCCGCGGCTTCCCGGTCTATTATTCGAGTTCAAAAAAGTGCTGAGCTCGGCCGCCTACCAAGCATCACCAGGAAGTGTCAGCTGAAGTGGAGACCATCGAGACTGTACCGACAATGCGCACGAGCCTGTTGACCCAGCTCCTGTGAATAATGATGCATTGTATTTAGGCGGAGGAAGACGAAGAAGTGTGTTTTCAATAGGAGCTACTTTTGCTAACTCCGGCATATTTCAGTGGTAATTTAAGTCTGTTGATCGGTTTTCGCTGCTTCCTTGGAGGGGATGGATGTAGACCACCCCGGGCGCCTGCCGGCACCAGCGGCGTCAGCGGCGGCCGCCTCCAGGAAGTGGATGGGACAAGCGAGTGACAGCGACAGTGAAGATACTCATGCCTACTATTTCAGTAGTGAGGTTTTTTTCAGATGACGGTTTCCAACCTGTGCTGAGCCGTAAAGCGAAGAGGAGGAACATGACGATATCCTCATCCTCAACTATTCAAACTGTAAGTGAAGCGCCAAAATCGAACACTTATACCATCCTGTTTCTGCCTGCACTTCCTACCGTCAGCATGAAACGCCTTAACAGACAGTCTGTATCGAGGTTTCTGGAAACGCTCGTGCCAAATGAGATCACGGACATAAGAGTGAACGCCATAAAGAATATACTGGCTGTATTCGTTTTGCACGCAAGTGCGTTGGGCGTTGCGCAATGTAACTGACTTGGACGGCAACCAGGTGCGCTCTCATGTTCCCTTGAGATGTGATGTAGTAACCGGCGTTATCTACGACATAGATGTGGCTATTTCCAATAATAACTTACAATTTATTGTCAAATCAACAACTGATACTCCAATTGTTGATGTCACCCGGCTAGGCAAGTCTCGCTGTGTGAAGATTGCGTTTAAGAGCACATCACTCCCCTCTCATGTGAAGGTAGGGTACTTCAGACATGCTGTGCGGCCTTTCAATCCAAAGCCTCTCCAGTGCCATAAATGCATGAAACTTGGACATGTGAGCAGCGTCTGCGAGAATTTGGTGGTATGCCACCGCTGCGCCGAGCCCCATGAAGCGGATAAGTGCGTCGCAACTGTCAAGAAATGCTCTAATTGCAATGGATCTCATGATGCCACATCGAAGGACTGCCCGCGGACTTAGAAGGAAACTGCCATCTTGAAGGAGATGGTGCGCGATCACTCATCTCATCAAGAAGCCGCAGCTAAAGTCAGAAGGCATCGTTCACGTCGACGTCGGTCTTCAAGGATGCCCGATACCTCCTTGACACGTTTGCCAGATCCCTCCTCAGTACCACCCCCTTTCCCTCCAAGACCACATGCCGTGGGAAAGGCTGTAAAGGACAGAGCATGTGAGCATACCCTAATTGCGACAGAGTGGCCTGCACTTCAAAGGGAAGCAGCATCAAGCGAACCGAAGGAGTTACATGACGGCCAGTCCGCGATCCCGGTTCGACATCTTTCCGACCAGGACAGGCAAGTGACTGCAATCGTGCAATTATTAATTGCCACGATTTGCACGCTACTGAGCAGCATACAATCTCCGTCTGCTAAGAGTGCACTGCAAATACTGGATGAACTGAATCCAGTTCTTGCTAACGTCGTATAAGCACAATGGCTCAACAAAATCTCATCTTCCGCACTGAAGTTAAAAGTGCGTCGATTTTTCAGTGGAATGCCAGAGGCATGAAATCCCGTACCTCCGACTTTCGCCAATTTGTTCGGGCTAATCAATTCCCTATACTTGTCATATGTGGACCAAACGTATCAACGCCTTATAGATTATCCGGTTATGAAGCTTTTTGTTCATCCGCTTGCGAAGAACGAGCAAAGTAATTGTTTACATTCGCACAGATTTGACTTATCTTTCGCACCCAATAAGTTCAAATGACGACAATCAGTACGTGTGTATTCGTGTAAAGAAGAATGCAGTTTCGTTAACGCTTATTGGTGGATATATATCTCCGTCATCGTGATCTGACTGCGACAGATTAAAAGACATCCTAATGAGGACCGATAGGCCTTGGATCATCACGATACTTGGAACGCCCATCACACGCTTTGCGGGAGCACTAGGATGAATTCCAGGGGCCGGAACATTGCTACATTCGCTTCCAATTACAACCTTCCCGTCATGAACGATGGTACCCCAACATATCAGCGGGGTCTCACGTATGGCAGTTGCCTTGACCTGACATTGGTGTCACTGTGCTTCTCTCACAAAGTTAAATGGTTTTGCGATATTGAGACTCATAGGAGTGATCACATACTCACCTACGTGACGATCGATGGTATCATAAAAATTTCTCTTCCGGTGTTGTAATTGGCACTGACTGGTCGATGTTTACATCGCGTGTTCAGGACGCTTGCCAAGAAGGGCTTGCCTGCTGCCTGGAAAATACCATAGCGGAAGCTATGCAAGCGTCCAAATGTAAATTACCAATTTCATTTAAAATAACACAGTTTGACATCGAACTGGAGAGATTACGAGCTATACGAAGGCGTGCTGAACGACGATACAGACGCACAAGATCAATTTACGATCTGAGGGAAGCAAGACGGCTCCAGAAAAAGATTCAACGACGCATTTACAAGCTGCAGAGCGAACGCTGGAAAACATTCTGCGAATCTCTAGACCCTTATAAACCGCTGTCATATATCTGGAGAACAGTTCGTAGTCTTCGCTCCTCTCCGCAACAACGGCACCCTTTTAAAGCCTTGGCACTCCATCATGCAAAAACAGAACTCGAGGTGGCTGAAGAATTTTGCACGAGAGTTGCCGGGAATACTATGAACGAGAGCATCAACGCCGTGATCGTTCCTGAGACGCGATTACCAGAAATGGACATTCCATTCACCATGGAAGAACAGA